CGCCGTGCGCGCCGCCGTCGCCGTCGCGCTCAACGACCGCGTCGCCGCCTACCCGGACGTCGACGTCTCCGAGTGCGCGACGCCGCCGCCGACGGCGCCGCGGACGATCTCCGCGGAGTCCGTGCCGGGCGCGCTGCAGAACAGCATGATCCGCTGCGACTCCCTCGACGCCCTCAACTGCTGACGCGCCCCAAGAAGAGAATCCCATGAGAACCGCTCCCCCCGGAGCACAGGCCCGCCTCGAGCGCGACTCGGCGAAGGCCCCGCGGCTGTTGTTGTCCCCCGTTGCACATAGTATCGTAATCGCACCCTCGAAGTAACGCGTCCCCCCAAAAAAAACAGAGCCGGCTAGTGCCACTTGAGCGGCGGCTCGCGCTCCTTGATGTTCGCGATGGAGCCCGGGACCTTCTCGAGCTCGTAGAACTTGGAGTCGAAGTGGGACTCGTAGACGGTGACGAGGCGCAGGCCCGCGGGCACGGGCTCGTCCTCGCCGACGCCACCGGCCACGGGCGGCGTGCCGCAGACGAGCGCCATCTTGTCGTCCTCGGGCTCGTCGCTGTCCGACTCGTAGGACGCGTCGCTCTCCGAGTCGTCGTCCTCGGACGCGTCGTCGTCGAGGCGCGGCGCGTCGTCGTCGTCGCCGTCTTCGATAACCCGCTTCTTCGGCGCGACGACGAGCGGCTTGGGCTTCGGGACCTTGGGCTTCGCGCCGCCGTCGGCCGCGAGGACGTCGCGCGCGTGGATCAGCTTCGAGAAGGGCTCCTCGCCCGCGCCGCAGAGCCAGCCGTCGACGCGGTGGCTCAGGATCTTCTTCGCCCACGCGCGGCGCTTCGGGTCGGCCAAGTCTCTCTTGTCGCGCACGGGCGCCTCGAACGACACGAAAATATTGGTGTGGCTGCCGATCTTGCCCAGCTCGAGCTCCTCGTCGAGCCAGCGCGCCTGGAGCGCCGCGCGGTCGTCCAACGCCGGATCCAGGTCGAAGAGCGTCGAGTTGAGGACGACGTACTTGGCCCCGTTCTTCCAAAAAGAATAGAAGCTGGACCCGAACGTCGCCTCGTAGGCGTCGAGCGACGCCCTGTCCGGCGCGTCCAACTTGCCGCAGACGTACATGGTCGGGATCGTCTCGGAGACGCGCGCCATGGTCTTCTTGAACTTGTCGAGCGCGACCGCGCGGCCCGCCTCGCCGACCTCGTAGGCGACCAGGTTGCCCGCGACGAACAAGAACGGCGGCCGCAGGCGGTTGACGGCGGACACGGCGCGCCGGATCTGGGCGAGCTCGTGGTCCAGCGACGCCGGGTCCGCCGGGTCGAGCTTCTTCAGCCGCGCCTTGCGGCCCACGCGGGGCTGGCCCATGACGACGAACGCGGTCGGCGCGTCGTACTTGCTCTCCGCCTGTGCCGAAACCAACCACTGGTTTGGGGGGTCCCCACCAAACTTGAGAATTCTCTAGCTCGGTCAAATCAAAGTCGATTCGGCTGATTTTTGGACGGATCGATCGCTCTCGTCGAGTTCTCGAAGCACAGTGAAAGAGTCTGGTCCAAATCGTTCGAATACGCTCACATTGAAGTCGGGTTGAATATTTGGTTTCGGCACAGCTCTCCGCGTCGTAGCCGAAGCCGAGGTACTGGCGCGTGCAGGGGTCCGTGCGCGAGCAGCGCGCGTCGACGGGCGAGTCGTAGAGGAGGCGGTGGACCTTCAAAGTCTTCAGCGCGCCGACGCGCTCCAGGTAGCGGCGGAGCGTCGCGCGCTCGACGGCCGTGAGCCAGGGCACGAGCTTCCCCGACCCGTCGAGGGCCGCGGTCGTCGCCGACGGCCCCAGGCGCTTCTCCGCGTAGTCCGCGCGCTCCGCGAGGTCGCCGACGGCCCGCAGCGCGAGCTCCGCGAGCGTCGGGATCTTCGTCGCGGCCGCGGCCGCCCGTTTGTTCGGATCGGGCGACGCGGCGTACTCGGGCGCGAGCCAGGCGGTCTTTCGCAGCGCCGACAAGTCGCCGGGCGCCGCGGTCGCTCCGAGGCGCGACGCCGGGTCCTCGCGGAGCAGCGCGCCCACGAAGTCGCCCGCGGGCGAGATCCGCAGGATCTCCGGGAACGTGTCGCGCGCGACCTGGGCAGCAAAAGGGTGATTCAATGTCGCTTCAACGTGAGTTTTCCGCGTGCGCCCGTTCCGGAAAATGCATCCACGCTTCGAGACCGTTCCGAGAGATGATCGCTCGTCCAAGAATTAGCCAAAACGAGTGGGAAACGGCCGAGATATGAGCCTTTGAAGTTGGGAATTTCGCTCTCTTTTGCTGCCCTGCGCGCGACGGCCCGCTTGATGCGCAGGAAGCTAAAGTAGGGGCTCTGGGCCTTGTAGGGGCCGACGCCGCACACAAGCTGGTAGGCGACGATGCCCACGGCCCAGAGGTCCGCCGCGTAGCTCGTCGTCGACTTCGACTCGACCATCTCGGGCGCCATGAACTCGGGCGTGCCCACGAACTCGGGCCCGTTCAGATCCGTGTCCACCAAATCCTTCGCCGTCCCAAAGTCGATCAGCTTCACGTGGCCGTCGGCCGTGAGCATCATGTTCTCGGGCTTGATGTCGCGGTGCACCAGACCGCACGCGTGCACGTGCTCGACGGCGTCGACCAATTCCGACACCCAGAAGCGCGCGAGGCTGTGGTGCACGGGCACGCCGGCGCGCGCGCCGTCGGGGCTCAGCGTCTGGGCCCACATCTCGCCGCCCTCGCAGAGCTCCATCATGTAGTAGAGCGTGTAGTAGTCCTGGAACGTGCGGAACATCTTGATCAAATTCGGGTGCTCGCCGCGCGGGCCGTCCTGGAGCTTCGCCAGCGCCCGCTTCTCCATCTTGATCTCGTTGTGCACGTTCGGGTGGCGCTTCTTGATCTTGTCGACCTGGGCCTTCTCGACGAGCTTTAGAGCAAAAGTCTGGCCGTCGGCCTTGCGCTTCGCGCGATAGATCGACGAGTAGTTGCCGTTGCCGAGCTCCTCGATGACCTCGAAGTGCTTGATGGACGGCGCGCCGGCGGCCTCGTCGCGCTTCTGCTCCACGTGGTCCCGGAGCTTCTCGAGCTCGTCGAGGGACTTCTCCCGCGCGATGGCCTGGTGCTGTCCTCGCCGTCGACCTTCGCCGGGATAGCCTCGAACGCGCCGTCGAGCGTCGCGTCGGCGGCGTCGAACTGGCGGTCCTCGCAGAGGGCCTTGGCCTTGCGGTACCAGGCCTTGGCGTAGGTCCCGTCGAGCGTCGAGCGCCGCGTCCGCGTCGTCGATCGCCTGCTGCCAGCGGCCGAGCCGGAGGTACGCGGCCGCGCGGTTGCTGTGGAGCACGGCGCTCGGCTGGATGGCGATGGCCTCGGCGTAGATGCCGCAGGCCTCGATGGGCCGCTTCTCCATGAGGGACCGGTTCGCGTCGGCCTTGAGGCGCTCGACCTTGTCCACGAGCTTCTTGTCGAGGAGCGCGGCCATGGCGTCGGGCCGCTTGCGCTTGATCTTGGCGCGCCGGGTTTACGGGCGGCGGAGGGCTGCGCGCACGGCGACGGCGGCGTGGCGGAGAGCTGCGCGCGCGGCCTGCGGGCTGTGAGCGAGCTGCGTTGCGCGCCGACGCGAATCGAGCTTGTCGCGCTGTGCAGATTTGCCTTTTTTGTTTTCAGCGAGCGCGACGCCTACGCCTCGCCTCGACGCCCGCGAACTCCGTCACCCGCGCGCCGCGCCGACGCCCGGACAACCCTCGAATCACAAGACAAACCGATGGCCTCGCGCGCCGAAGCGCTCGCCGCGGATAAGCCGCGCCGCCGCCTCGGCCCCGCCCGCGGCTCGACGCCCCCGCCCACGGTCTACGACGACCCGGTGGCCGACGACGCCCTGCCCGTCGCGCGCGACGGTTCTCCAGGCGAGATGGCGCTCGAGACGTGGTGGACGTTCTGGGGCCGCGGCATGCGCCCGGCGAAGAAGAACGACTGGCAGTCGTCGCGGCTCCACGAGTTCACGACGGCCGAGGCCTTCTGGCGCCTCGAGAAGGCGCTCGAGAAGCCGAGCGCGGTCGCCCTGCCGAAGAAGTTCGACTACCAGCTGTTTCGGGAGGCGATCCAGCCGGCGTGGGAGGACCCGACCAACGCCAAGGGCGGCACGTGGAGCGTCGAGCTGCCCCGCAAGGGGTCCGTGCTCGACGACTGCTGGCTGAAGCTCGAGCTCGCGGCCATCGGGGGAACGCTCGTCGCGCCCGGCGAGGACCCCGCGGAGGTCTGCGGCGTCGCGCTCAAGTGCAACCGCGGCCGCGACACCACGCTGAGCGTCTGGACGCGCGGCCGCGACGCGGCCGTGCAGCAGGCCCTCGGCGAGCGCTTCCGCCGCGTCCTCGACGTCGGGCCGGATTTCAAGATCACCTTCGCCGCGCACGACGACGCCGCGGTCCTCTTCTCCGCGTGAGTCCGTCGCGGAGAGAGTTCGCTCTTAAAGCATCGCTCGTACCCTGCCTAGTTGCCGAACCACCCCTTCTTGGGCAGCGCGGCGTGCTTGCCCAACGCGGCGTCGCGCGCGACGGCCAGGTTCTTCACGTAGAGCGCCTGCATGGCCGCGCGCGGGAGGCCCGACGCGTCGGCCGTCTCCGTCTTGCAGAGCTGGAAGATGGGGAGCTGGATGCACGCGGACCAGGAGAAGGACAGGTTCCAGGGCGCGTACTTGTCGCCGCCGCGCTTCTTCTTGAGGTCGTTGATCGCCGCGAGCCGCGACGACGCCTGCTCCAAATCCTGACCTCCCGAGAGGTAGTTCACGGTCTTGACCGCCACGGGCAGCACGCGCCGGAGCATCCTCAAGTTCGCGTCGGCGATGTCCTCCAACGAATACTCCGTCGCCCCGTCCTTGCCCGCGTTCACCAGATTCGTCTTCAGGATGCACCCTTCCAGGTACACGCCGTAGTCCGCGCACGCGCGGAACAACTCCATGTTGACGCGCGCGTTGGCCTCCACGGCGTCTTCGAGGGAGTGGTCCCCCTTCAAGACGAGGTCCGGTTCGACGATGGGCACGAGCCCCTCGGCCTGGCAGATCAACGCGTAGCGGGCGAGGTCGCGCATGTTCGTCTCGATGGCCAGCGCCGACGGCGTGCCCTGGGCGACGTCGATGGTCAGCGGCGACCGCCACTTGGCGAAGGTGCAGCCCGCGGCCTTGTACTCGCGGCAGCGCAGCGCGAGGCCGTCGAGGCCCTGCATGCACGTCTCGCCGGACGTGCCGGGCAGCTTGTAGACCGTGAGCGACGGCTTGACGCCGGGCAGCAAGCCGCGCTTCTTCAGCAGCGCGGGGAACGGCGTGCCGTCGTCGGCGCACTGCTTCACGGTCTCCGGGTCGAGGATGACGGCCGTGAGGTAGTCGGGCGCGCCGGGAGCGTCGAAGAGCGTCTGGCGGTAGCAGCGGCGCAGCTCCTCGGACGGCGTCAGGCCCACGGCCTCGAGGCGCGGGTTGATGGTGCGGCCGCTCTCGTCGCAGGCGCTGATGCCCTTGCCGGGCGTGGCGATGTAATTGACGACGCCCTCGAGCTCCGCTTTGGCCTCCTTGGAGAGCCACTTGCGCCGCTCGTCGGCGCCGGCGCCGAAGCAGTGGTGGGCGGCCATTGCTGCAGAGGTGTTTAGGCCGAACGATGGGCAGTCGACGCGAGCTCGTGCAGTCGATCGAGAGATCGCAGCTGACGAGGACTGCAACCATCGGATGTTAAGCTTCAATGTTGCATCGTTGAAGCAAAGCATCCCTCTATTCTGCTCTTGATTTAAAGCAGACCCGAGCACAGGATCGCGATGGCCGTCAGCACGACGCTCCGCCGGTGCTCCGGCGGCGCCTTGGCGAGCGCGAGGCCGGCCAGCGGCCCGAGCACGACGAGCTTCGCGCCGAAGCGCTCGGTCAGCGACCCGAGCACGTTGCAGAGCGATATGAGGCCGGAGAGCGCCGTGACGAGGGTCCAGGGGTTCGACGCGAAGGTCGCGCCCAGCCGCCGACACACCGCGGCGCCGTTTTTCGCGCGCTGCACGAGCGCCTCCGGCGAGAAGTCGTACGCGGCCACCGCCGTCGTCGCCGCGTCGTCGTCGTCGCTGCCGAAAAACGCGCGGAACAGCTCCTCGGCGTCGACGTCCCCGAAGGCCCCCGGCCCGCCGCTCGGCGCGGACGACGAGCCCGACGACTCCTCGGTGCCGCCGCCGCCAAAGTAGTCGTGGTGCCGCCGCGCGCGGGGGTCCGAAAGCGTAGCGAAGGCGGCGGAGACGCGCTTGAAGGCGTCGGCCGCGCCGGGCTGGCTGTTCTTGTCCGGGTGGAGTCTTAGGGCGAGTTTGCGGTAGCTCTTTTTGATCGCCGCTCCGTCGCAGCGCTTGTCGACGTCCAAGATGCCGTAGAGGTCGCTCGGGTCGCAGGCAAGGATGCGCCCGACGTCGCCGCTGGCGCCCGCGCGGCGCGCCGACGGCGCGCTGCTCGGCGCGCTGGCCGACGGCGCGCTGCTCGGCGCGCTGGCGGTGTCTGCTGCGCCGTCGAGGACGGCGCGGACGCGCGCGACGAGCTCGCTCTTCTCGTTGACGTCGGCGTAGCCGACGCGCGCGGCGTCGAGCGTCTTTTTCAGGCGGCTGATCTTCCAGGTGGCGGGATCGTCGTCCATTGCGGCTTGGCTCGATCTACAGGCCGCAGGGCAGCATCGTTGCACGCATTCTAGCATGGGGCTTTTATGACTGCACCCAAAACCTTGCGCCTTGCGTCTCGCCTCTCTCCATCGATCGGCGCGCGCCTCGCTGCTTGCTTCGCGCGGCTAGTCTAAGAGAACCCGGCAGTGATTCCGCGGCGTCCGAACCATGTCGACGCGCTGTCGTCACCAGAGTACCGCGCGCCTCGTGACCGACGCGCCGGGCCGCGCGCGCGCGCGCGGCTGTCCACGCCGGATCCGCCCCACCACGACCGGAGAGTACCCTCCACGACCACATGCGCGACCGCCGCGCTTTTAGGACCGTCATCATGGGCGACCGTGCGGCCGCCAAGCTGAACAACAAGTTCTCGCGGCAGAATGCGGCGCTTGGCGCGGAGACGCGCGACGCGGCGTCCCGCGGTTCCGCCGTCGGCGGGCGCGCGTTCCGAACATCACAACCACAGGACCAAGTTCCTGCGGGACATGAAGCTGCTCGTCGTGGGCCTGCGGGGCACGGGCGTCGAGATCGCCAAGAACTGCCTCCTCCAGGGCGTGAGCAGCCTCACGCTGTCCGCGGCGCCGCGTCGCGTCGTCTGCGGAGGCGCGCGGTCACCCGCGAAGCGCGCAGGTACGACCCGAAGCCCGTGGCCATCGCGGACACGGGCGCGAACTTCTTCCTCGGCGCGGACGACGTCGGGTCGGCCCGCGACGCCGTCTGCCGGCCGCGGCTCCAGGAGCTGAACCCGGAAGCCGCCGTCGTCGTCGCCGACGAGCTCAACGAGGCATTGGTCGGGGCCATGACCTGCGTCGTCTTCACGGACGGCGTCAACCGCGACGAGCTCGTGCGCTGGAACGAGTTCTGCCGCGGCCGCGAGAAGACCGTCGTCGACGAGCGCGGCGTGCCGACGACGGTCCCCGCGCCCGTGAGCTTCGTCTGGGCCTTCGTCGGCGGCCTGGCCATGTCCGTCTTCGTCGACCACGGCGACGAGTTCCTCTGCCGCGACGCCGACGGCGAGCGGCCCATCGTGCGCCTGGTGGAGTCGATCTCGCGCGAGGAGCGGGGCCTCGTCCGCTTCATCGTGCCCGACGGCGTCCCCGCGACGTCGCCGCCCGAGCACTCGCTCTACGAGTTCAGCGAGGTCGTCGGCTGTTCCGCGCTCGACGAGGCCAGCGCGGCGACGCTCGGCGGAAACTCGCTCAACGGCTGCCCGCCCTTCCCCTGGACGAGCCAGGCGGGCGACCCGGCGAACTCGTTCCGCATCGGCGACACGCGGTCGTTGGCGCCCTACGAGTCCGGCGGCCTCATCACGGAGCGCAAGAACCCCAAATTATTGCGCTTCAAGTCCCTGGGGTCGCGCCTCCTCGCGCCCGGGTCGTCGTTCGCGCCCGACGGCCTCGTCATGACCGACTACACGTTCTCCAACCACGAGCTCCAGCTCCACGCGGCGCTCGTCGGATTGATGGAGTTCGAGGCCACGGAGAAGCGCTTCCCGAAGCCCAACGACGAGGCCGACGCCGACGCCGTGCTCGCCAACGCCAAGGCCTACGCGGAGGCGTGCCGCGTCGCGAACCGCGCGACGGCGAACGGCTGCGGCGCCGCGGACGTCGACGTCGACGCCGACTTCTGCCGCGCCTTCGCGCGCCACTGCGCCGTGGAGCTCCAGCCCATGGCCTGCTTCGCCGGCGGCGTCGTCGCCCAGGAGGTCGTCAAGTGCGCGGGCAAGTACGCGCCCATCGACGGCTTCCTCCACTTCAACTCCATGGAGACGCTGCCGTCGCCGCCGCCGCCGCTCGCGGACCGCGCGCCCCAGGGCTGCCGCTACGACGACCTCATCGCCGTCTTCGGCGCGTCCTTCGTCCAGAAGCTCGGGAACCTGAACTACTTCCTCGTCGGGAGCGGCGCTCTGGGCTGCGAGTTCGTCAAGAACTTTGGGCTCAACGGCGTCTGCTGCGGCCCCGAGGGCCAGCTCGTCATCGCCGACGCGGACCGCATCGAGCTGTCGAACCTGACGCGCCAGTTCCTCTTCCGCGAGCACAACGTCGGCCACTCCAAGGCCGCGGCGGCGTCGAAGATGGCGACGGACCCGGGCCCGCGGACGTGCGCGAACGCGATGAACGCGGACCTCAAGGTGCGCACGGTCGAGGCCTACGTCGGCGTCAAAACGGAGACGACCTTCTTCGACGACGCCTTCTGGGAGGGTCTGGACGGCGTCTGCAACGCCTTGGACAACATGGAGGCGCGGTTCTACGTCGACGCGACGTGCGTCAAGTTCGAGAAGTCGCTGCTCGAGTCGGGCACCATGGGCACGAGCGGCAACGTCGACCCCGTCGTGCCCCACAAGACCAAGACCTACCGCGAGGGCGGCAACGCCGCCGAGGGCGGGGGGGTGCCCATGTGCACGCTGCGCAACTTCCCGCACCTCATCGAGCACTGCATCGAGTGGGCCCGCGACAAGTTCGCGGAGCTCTTCGAGAAGCCCGCGCGGCGCCTGCGCAAGTTCGCCCAGGACCCGCAGGCCGCCGTGGAGGACCTGCGCAAGAAGCTCGAGAGCGGCGACGCGGCCGCGGCGGACGGCGCCGCGGCCGACGCCGAGGCGCTCCTCGCGTCGCTGCGCCTCGCGCTAACGCCCCTGGCGAACCGGCGCGCGGCCTGCGCCCAGCGCGCCTTCGACGCCTTCCACGCGCTCTTCCGCGACATGATCCTCGACCTGACGACGGCGTACCCGGCGGACGCGCGCGTCAAGGGCGCGGACGGCGCCGACAAGGGCCCCTTCTGGAGCGGCCACAAGAAGTTCCCGAGCCCGGCGACCTACGGCGCCGGCAACGGCGACGACTGGAAGTTTCTCGTGTCCGCGACGCACCTCCTCGCGCAGTCCGTCGGCGCGCAGCCGCGCAAGGCCGAGGACGACGACGACTACGCGTCGGGCGAGCGGTCCGCGGACTGGGCCGCGCGCCTCGCCGCGTCCCTCGCGACGCCGGCCTACGTCTCCAAAAAGGTCGACACGACGGGCATGGAGCAGGGCGCGCCCAAGCCCGAGGAGGCGGCCATGGCCGGCGACGACGACGCCCGCGCGCGGGGCTTGGCGGCCGTCGCGGAGCTCGCGCGCGCGGACGCGAGCGCGCTCGTCGACGTGGAGCCCGCGGACTTCGAGAAGGACGACGACTACAACTTCCACGTCGAGTTCGTCACGGCCTGCGCGAACTGCCGCGCGGCCAACTACTCCATCCCCCCCACGGACTTCGACAAGGCCAAGCTCACGGCGGGCCGCATCATCCCCGCCATCGCGACGACGACGGCGGCGGTGACGGGCCTCGTCATGCTCGAGCTCTTCAAGATCGTGTTGGACAAGCCCGCGACGGCGCTGCGGACGCGCCAGGTCGGCCTGGCGTCGAACTACTACCCGTCGTTCGACGCGGACAACTTGGTGACCTTCAAGACCAAGGAGACGTCCGTGAAGCCCGACGCGTCGGGCCTGCCGCCCGACGCCTTCGACGACAAGGGCGACATCAAGAAGGCCTTCTACGAGGTGTCCACGTCCGTCGCGTACCCCGAGGGCCACAGCGTCTGGTCCAAGCTCGAGCCGCCGGCGGACGCGGAGACCTGGACCGTGGACGTGCTCAAGGACTGGCTCCTGAAGACCCACGGGCTCAAGCTCACGGCCTGGAACCTGCCCTGCGGCGAGACGACGGACGACGACGGCGGCAAGCGGTCGATCGCCGCGCGCGTCTTCCCCTTCGTCGAGCCCGTGGACCTCGCGAAGCTGCCCGCGCTGGACCTGCCCAAGGGCAAGGCCATGATGGAGCTCACGAAGGCGGGCATCCGCGGCGCCATGACCATGAAGTACCTGAACGAGTGGTCCAAGTACAAGGCGTTGGGGGGTTTGCCCGCGGTGCTGCCCGCGCCGGAGCCGTCGGCCAAGGACCTGACGCTGCGCGCCATCCTCGAGGCCAAGGGCAACATGAACCTCGCGAGCCGCAAGCGCGTGCTCCTCGACGGCCTGTCCTGCTCCATCACGCGGCCGGCCAAGGTCGACGCGAACGCCATGGACACGGACGCGGGCGGCATGGACCTCGACGAGGACTGCGACGTCGAGAAGCTCGCGCCCGTCCTCCTCAAGCTGAACATCGGCGCCTAGGGGCCGGGCCCCGCGCCCGCTAAGAAACTGCCGTGGGCTTCAACTTGCACGGCAAGCAATTGCAGCATCGACCATGCATGGTAGAATGGGTGAGCCGCGCGCGATGTGCTGAACGCGAAGCGTGCTGCAGGAACGCACAATACAGGATGGGTGCCATCGTCGTCGAGTATGCCTCGAGCCCAAGCGAGTCGCCGACGCCCGAGGCATCGTCGAAACCCGCGCCGACCACCGATGCATCGCTGGCGTTGCCGGACGACATGACGCTCGTGGCCGCGGCGCCCGAGAGCGACCTCATCTATTTTGCCACGCCCGAGGCGCCGTCGCGCGAGATCTGGGCCTACAGCGCCGCCGAGGACCGCGTCGTCGCCGTCTGGGCGTCCATGGACCGGAGCGTCCTGTCCCTCGCGCACGCCGGCGCGCTCCTGTCGCTCGAGACCGACGCGCGGGGCGCCGCGCACGTCTCTCGCTACGCCGTCGCGACAAACGGCCGCGTCGCCGCCGACGCCCAGCTCCTCGCCGGGCCCGTCGGCGCGGACGCGCCGCCGCCCCGCGGCGTCGTGCGCGCGGGCGGAGACCGCGTGCTCGCGGCCGTCGGCGACGACGTCGCCGTCTACGAAGCGGGCGGCGACGCGCTCTTCGAGCCGCGGCGGCGGTTCCGCCGCGGCGCGGACGCCGGCGCGGGCGACGCCGTGCTCGACGCGGCGCTGCGCGGGACGACGATCGTTTTCGCGACGCGCGCCGGCGCCTGGACCTGCGCGGCCGACGGGACGGCGCCCGCGTACCGCGCGGCCGAAGCCGACGACGCCGACGACGCCGTCGCGGTGGCGTTCCTCGACGACGGCCGCTTCGTCGTCGCGCGCGGCCTCGCCTGCGACCTCTACCGCGTCGACGGCGGCGGCCGGCCGCGGCGCGACGCGTCCTTCGCGCTGACCGCGCGGCTGGCGTCGTTCGTCGCCGCCCGCGGCGCGACGGCGTACGCGGGCACGGACCGGGGCGTCGAGGTCTGGCGGACCGACTTCCTGCCGCGGCTCGACCTCGTCCACGCGGCGCCGCCGGCCGCCGCGCGGCTCCGGCTCGCGCTCGTCGCCTCCTCGGAGGGCCGACCTGGCGGCCGCGCGTGGCCCCTCGCGCCCGAGCCGCCCGCGGCGCCGGACGACGACGCCGGCTCCGTCGACTCCTTCGAGGAGACGGGCCTGTGCCCCGAGCCGGAGGGCGACGGCGACGCGACGTCCGAGACGCGCGCTCCCCGCTCGAGAGGCATACCGCGCGGTAGTTTTCTATGCGGTTCTCGCGCCTGGGCACTACGCGGGTCGCTACCTCGGACGGTTCTGTTGCGAGCAAACCCCGCGATGGAACTCGGCTTGCGTTCGAAGCAACTTAGGGCGGCGAAAAAGGCGGGGATCAGACCGCGCCTAGAGGCCGAGCTTCGTGCGGCGCCAGTGGCGGCGCTTGGCGTTCCAGCGGATCTTGTTGTCCGTGCGCATGCGGATCCACTGGGGGATGGGGCGGTTCTGCTTCATCTTCTTCGCCTGCGGGGAAACGAGCGGGTGAGCGACGTTCGTCCGTCGGCGAGCGAGTGCGCGCCCCTCGGCGCGGAACCCACGGCGTCGCAGCCCCGCCCCGCGGCAGGGCACGCGCGGGTCGGCGTCCCGGGGCGGGGCTCGGCCCGGCGTCGGCTCCGTGGCGCCCGCCGGCGGAACGCTTTCGCCGTCGGTCCGTCGGTCCCGGCTCCGGCCCCCTCTCGTGGACTGGTATTGGACTCGGCGGCGCACCAGAGTCCGCTTCGTGCGGAACGTCTTGTGGGAAGGCTGCGCGAGGGGGGCGCGCGGTGAGCGCTGAGCGCGGCGCAGCGCGGCGACGGGGAGGGTTTGGGGGCGCTCTCTCGCGCAAACGCGTCTCCGGGGACGGGGTCACCGTCCAGCGATTCGCCACCGTCGTCAAGAGCCCGGTTGAAGGCTCAGCGGCGGCGGAGAGGCGGTCACTGGACAGCGCGGGAGTGGAGGGCGCTCTCACCATCGTATCGTCGCCGCCAAATAGCGATTGATTGGAGCGAGGACGCCGGGGGTCCGATGAGCACGCGCGGGTGCACCGCGGCGCGCGGAGCCGCTCGCTCGCGACGTCGGACACCCATGATGGAGCCGAGGGCGACGTCGACGAGGCCCGGCTCGACGATAACGAGCCGGCGGAGGATGCCGTCGCGGAGCCCGACGGCGAGGATGCTGTGCCATGGGGTGTGATTCGCGCGGGGCCACCGTGTGACAAGCCGCCGAGCGACTCGGACTCGGAACCTAATCGCCCCGTGTGTGTGTCCCTGGTCGCTTAAGTAGTTCGGCGGCGCGGTCACCGCGCCGCGGAGGGGTCTGCCTCGAGCGGGCCGGGGCGCGTCTTGGGCGCCGCTGACGGGCGGGTGCTTGGGTCCCGCCCCCTAGCGGCCGAGGCGCTTGAGGAAGCCGCTCTTCTTCTGCGGCGCCGGCGGCGCCGGCGGCATGCCCTGCGGCGGGTAGGCCGCGGGCGGCGCCTGGGGCTGCGCGGCGGGCGCGGCGGAGAAGCCCGGGAGCCCCTGGCCGGGCGCGTCGAGCGCGATCTCGTCGGAGAGCACGTCCGTGAGGGAGGACTCGAAGCCCGTGGCGAGGACCGTCACGGAGACGTCCTGGCCCATGTTCTCGTCGACGGACGCGCCGAAGATGATGTTCGCGTCGGGCGCGACGTTCTCGTAGATGACGCCCGCGGCGGAGTTGACCTCCGCGAGCGTCAAATCCGGCGGCCCGCAGATGTTGAAGACGACGGCCTTGGCGTTCATGAACTGGGAGTCGAGGAGCGGGCAGGACGTCGCCAAGCCCGCGGCCTCGGCCGCGCGGTCCTTGCCCTTGGACTGGCCGATGCCCATGAGCGCCGTGCCCGCGTCGCTCATGATGGAGCGCACGTCGGCGAAGTCGACGTTGATGAGGCCCGGCTTGATGATGATCTCGGAGATGCCCACGACGCCCTGGCGGAGGATGTCGTCCGCGACGAGGAACGCGCCCTCCATCGTGGTCCCCTCGGGCACGATCTGGAGCAGGCGGTCGTTGGAGATGACGATGAGCGTGTCCACGGCCTCCTGGAGGTTCCGCGTCGCGACCTGGGCCTGCTGGGCGCGCTTCCGGCCCTCGAAGCCGAAGGGCTTCGTGACGACGCCGACGGTCAGCGCGCCGAGCTCCTTGGCGACGGACGCGACGATGGGCGCCGCGCCGGACCCCGTGCCGCCGCCCATGCCCGCCGTGACGAAGACCATGTCCGCGCCGGACAGCGCCGCGGCGATCTCCGCCCGCGACTCCTCGGCCGCGGCCTCGCCCTGCGACGGCTTGCCGCCGGCGCCCAAACCGCGCGTCGTCTCGCGGCCGATGTTCATCGTGTTCCCCGCGAGGCTTCGCGAGAGCGCCTGCGCGTCCGTGTTCATGGCCCAAAAGTCCACGAAGGAGCCCGCGTCCGTCCTACGGGGCATGGGTTCACTGCCGGTTCTGAGTTCGAAGGACGCGGGGCGACGCGCTCGACCATGCGGTTCACCGCGTTCCCGCCGCCGCCGCCGACGCCGACGACCTTGATGCAGCAGGGCGCCGTCATGAGCGGCGCGCCGTCCGCCGTGTAGAGCTGCCCCGCGGGGGACGCCGCCGCGGACGTCGCGTCGAGCTGGAACTCGTCGAAGGAGGCGGCGCGCAGCTGTTCCGTCTTGAACGTCCCCGCGGCCGCGTCATACCTCCCCTGGAAGAGGCCCGCCTTCTTGGGGGCCAGAGCATCGGCCGAGTAGGCCAACGCCGCCGTCAGGGCGGCAATTTTGCGCACCATCGGATGCAGTCAAGTCGCCTCGCCCTCAAGAGCCCACCGCAACTGGCTCAACGCAGCTCTTGATTGGCTCGCAAGCCTTTTTTGATTCCAATGGCGCCACGGCACAGCTGCGTGCAGAGCGGTGTCGTCGCTTAAACTTGGCGTAAATTGCCTACCCCAGCTGCCACACCCACGTCGTGCTCGGAACCAAGGGGCGTATCCAGCGCCGTCGATCGTGACGCGCTTCGCCGGTACGCGGCGCGGCGCCAGCCTGGGCGAACTTGAAGTGGCTAGCCATTCGTCGCAAATCGAGCGCTTGTTTCTGGCACGTTTGGCCACCGGGCGTCTCTGGGCACTGGCCAAAAACCGCGAATTTAGACGGGGAGCGCGTCGGCCATGGACGCGTCGCCGGCGCAAAACCACCCATCTCAGAGCAGAACAGAGCTGCCACCGCCACAGCCGCCGTCCGCCGCTCGCGCTGTAACTCACGCTCGTCGTCGCAACAGCTTCGCAGAGAGCTCATCGGCGGCAGCAGCGACCGCGCCGTCCGCCGCTCGCGCTGTGACGCTCGTCGTCGTAACAGCGTCGCAGACAGCTCATCGGCGGCAGCAGCGCTGCCGCAGCACCGCTGTCGCGGCGCATTCGCAGCGCCGAGCGCACACACCATGCACTGCTTCCTCCTCGCAGCGGCCGCCGCAGCCTTCGAGCTCAACTACAAAAGTATCGCCGTGACCGCGCCGCGGCGCGTCGTCTCCGCCGCGGACGTCGACGCCAAGTTCGACGAGGTCAACAGGCCCTACGCGCTCGTCGGCGTCGACGGGCCCGCGGCGCTGGGCCTCTGCGTCTTCGCGGACGTGGCCTTCTCGGCGCCGGGCTTCGAGTGGCGGCGCGAGAACTACCTCGTCGAGCTCCTCGACGACCAGGCCGAACCCTTCGGCTTGGTGTCGACGGCGCTCGCGGACGCGGCGGTCGTCGACGGCGCTTCGCACGACTTCGACTTCGACGTCGACCTCGACCTGCGGAGCGCCCTCTCGCCCGAATTCGGCGACCTCGAGAAGGGCGCGACCTGCGCCTGCAGCGTCGCCGTGAAGCGCGTCCTCGAGAAGCGGCCGGACCCGCGAACGGACGACGAGAAAAAGGCGATCATCGGCGAGCGGCTCCGCGCGCGCGCGGCGGCCGACGGCGAGGCGGCGGCGAACGCGGAGATCCGGGGCTTCTTGCGCCGCGAGACGGGCGAGGACTGGGCCCACATCTCCGTCGCCATCGCGGACCGGGAGAACATCGACCTCGGCGACGTGCCCGCGTTCCTCCGCGAGCGGACGACCGTGACCTGGCGCGACGCGTAATAGTGCCGATCGGGGTCTACCAAGCTCGCGGGAGCCGCGGCCCCTTTTCGATCCCCGGCGCGCGCGGACGGGAACAGCGACACAAGTCGCGACGCGGCCCCTCAGGCTCGAACCGGACGCCCCCCCGGCGGAGAGGCGCGGGTTTGTATAGATGTTTACGGGGGGCGCGACGCGGCGGCCGTCGCTACTTGAACCGCGGGCGGCGGAAGAATGCCCGCGGCCGTGTTTTTCGTCGGGGGGGCTCCGGGGAGAGGACGGGACGCGCAAGCGCCTAGTCCGACTCCTCGCCGGCGTCGCCGCCGCCGCCCGCCGCGGCCTTGGCCGCGGCGCGTTTGCGCGCGACGCGGCCCGGGCGGCCCTGGCCGTAGGGCGACGTGATCGCGAAGTCGATGTGCTTCTCGGAGTCGAGGCGCACGAGGAACGACGGCACGTTGACGACCTGCTTGCCGACGCGGATGTGGCGCTGCTTGATGAGGACGCGCGCGTGGTGGATGGACTTGGCCAGGCCCTGCTTGAAGACCTTGGTCTGGAGGCGGCGCTCGAGGAGGCGCTGCGTCGTCATCTGGAGCACCGCGTCGAGCTCGAGCTCCGTCTCGTCGAGGAGGCCGTAGCGCTGGAGGCGGCGGAGGAGGGCCGGGGCCTCGAACATGCGCGCGGGGTCCTTCGTGTCGAGCGTCAGGAGCGTCCGCGCGGCCTTGCGGAGCTTCGCGAGGGCGAGCTGCGTGCGCCAGAGCTCGCGCTTGCACCGGAGGCCGTACTCGCCCACAAGCTTGAGCTCGCCATCAATACGCTCCTTCTCGAAGGGGCGGCGGGGCGTCTTCGACGTCTTGCGGTAGTTCCGCAAAAAGCTCGTCTTGGGCATCGTTTATTTACGCGCGGCGGCGGCGATTACGACGGCGCAGGCGGAGGGCGAGCTAAATCGCTAGCGGAGGAGCTGTCGCTGCCGCGCGCGATTTTGCCCCGGCGAGATTTTGGCCGGGGTCGGCCACGATCGCGTATGGTGTGTAATTTTTGCGCAGCCCCGACCAGCGTGCATTGACCACCAAATCGATAATCGACACCGCGAAAACCATGGCCGAAAACAAGAGCGACGCGCTCCTAGAACAAGAAAACGCCGCCATCCTCTGCGTGCTCACGGAAGCCGACGAGTACTACAAGGAGCAGCAGCGCCTCGGCAAGACGATCCGCAAGGGCTTCCTGGACCTCGCCAAGGCGCGCCAGGCCGTCGGCCCGTCGTCGTCCATCTCCGCGCTCAACGTGCGCGAGGAGCTCAGCGCCCAGTTTTCCGTCGACGCCGACGACGCGTTCGACGCCTGCGCCGTCGACCAGCTCGCGGCGTCGGCCGCGTTCCGCGCGCGCAAGGGCGGCCTCGACGAGTCGCGGCGCGTGCCGAGCTCCGAGTCGCTGCGGCGCCGCGGCGACGCGGCCGCGGCGGCGACCGCGGACGCGACGACGTGCGAGGAGGACGCGCCGCCGCCGCCGCGCGACACGGTCCTCCTCTTCGCGGGCATGCCGCCGCCGGCGCTCCGCAAGGCCAAGAAGGAGTTCGTCACGGCCCTGCAGCACGCCGTCAAGCTCGCGAACGCCGGGCGGCGCATTCGCAAGGCCCTCGACGCCATCGACGGCGCGAGCCCGTGAGAGTCTACAGGACCGCCTAACTCGAATTACGCCGACCGCATGCAGTCCAGCGCCCCCTCGCTCTCCAGGCGCTTCGAGCTCGCCATGCGCGCGAGCCGCAGGGACGTCGCGACGTCCTTCCGCGTCATGCCCTGCGCGGCGCGGGGGAACGGCGGTTGCGATCGCGACGGTAAAAAAAGGACGCGGGGCTCCCCACCGCCGCGGCCTTGGCGCTCGTGGGCTGGCGCTTGTGGATGGGGGACTCCGTCTTGGGCGTCGGGTTCGCGGCCGCGAGCGCCATCCGCTCCTCGAGGTTGTCTCGCAGATGGAGGTACAGCTCGGCGCAGGTGTACTCCTCCGGGTCGATGGACGGGTCGACGCGCCGGATGACCGCCGCGGGTTCCGAGCTGCCCTGGAGCTCGGCGATGCGCCCGGCGCGGTCCGCGCGCCGCCGGTGCGCCTCCTCGATCTCGTAGGTTTCCTTCCGCAGCTGGAGCTGGAGCTGGGACTCGCCGTCGTGCTCGAAGCGCACCTTGTCCGCCTCGCTGTAGAGCGAGTACATCTCTCAGCGCCGCGACGAAGGTCCCGCGTCAGGACTCGGTGCGCCGGCCCATAGTAGCGCGCAGCACCTGCGGATACGCTGAAGGGGCAGCATCAGCTCCCCACTTCCGAAGGAGTTGGCCGCCTGGGGCACAGCGTTTGGGCTGCCGTAGCGCCGCCCGCGCACCGGCGCCGCGCCTCCTGGGACGGCGCGCCGGACCGCGGGCGCGACTTCGGCCGCTTCGGCGCGACTGGCGCCGCTCGACGGGTGCTCCGCCTCGCGGCGCGCTCCCGGGCTGCCACCACCATGGGCGGCGGTGCTTCGAGGCCCGCGGGCGACGCGCCGGATAGGCGCAAGGGCGGCGGCGGCAAGAAGAAGTCCAAGGACCCGAAGGCGCGATTATTTCCCGCGTCGGATCCCGCGTCGTTCAAAACCCTCGACGCGCGCGCGTTTGCAGGTCGTCCTCGAGCAGCGGATCGAGGCGGGCGACGACAAGGAGGTGGCGGCCATGCTCCAGAAGTCGCCAGACCTCGTCAACTGCAGCCTCGACGACGAGGGCATGCGCGCGCTGCAGGTCGCGTGCCGCCACGGCCAGCTCGAGATCGTGCAGCTCCTGTTGAAGCTCAACGCGTTCCTCAACCAGAAGAACGACTCCGGCGCGACGGCCCTCATGTACGCCGCCGCCGGCGGCTTCGACAAGATCTGCAAACTGATCCTCGACGCGCGAGACCCGCGCCTCGATGTTTTGTCGCGGCGCGTCCCCGGAACGCCCGTCTTTTCGCAGGCCGGCGCGGACGTGCGCATCGTCGACAAGGACAAGCAGAGCGCCCTCGAGTACGCCCAGCTCAACAATCGAACGAAGGTCGAGAACCTCCTCCAGCTCTACGCGTGCGAGTACACGTGGTAGTCCGGCGCGGCGGCGGCGGCGGCGCGCGCGGTTTCGGGCGCTCCGGGCGGAACCGCCGCGTGCGGTTTCGAGCGGAACCGCCGCGCGACGCTCCGACGGTCTCTTTTCGGCGTAAGGACCATCCTAGGAGTCAGAGCTCTGCTGTCGACTCCGGACTGCAACAACTCTTCGCGAAGATGTTGTCGTTTCGAAATCTGGAGCACACCGGCCCAATCAAGCCGAGGTGGCCGTCGCGAGTGAGTTCCTCCACCAAATATGCCGCCGCGGCGCAACCGCCGCCGCCTCCGGAAGGTGCCGCCGCCGCCGCCGCGCGGCAGCGGCTTCGTCGTCCCGCATGGAACGGCGCCGCCGCCGCCGCAGCAGGACCCCTTCAGCTGCTGCATCGTGGGCTGCTACGAGGACGACCCGCAGCCGATGCAGCCGTTCGAGCCCCAAAGCGAGCTCTTCGAGTTCACGGAGGTCGGCCAGGCGACGCCGGCCGTCGAGAAGGACCAGCTCGAGGCCCTGGCCATGAAGATCATCTCCCTCGAGGCGCTCGTGGAGCGGCAGGCCAAGTTCTCCGAAACGCAGGCGAAGGACCTCCGGCGGCTCCGGCGGACCATCGACAAGCTCGGCGTCGAGGCCGCCCGGAGCGACGACGAGGAGGACGAGGCCAAGGACGAGGCCAAGGACGCGGGCCCCACGGACAAGGAGCTGGAGATCGCCGACGAGGCCGACGACTACGAGGAGACGGAGGAGCTGGAGGCGTCCATCAGCGTCCTGTCGCGGTGACGATTTTCGAGAGATTTTTCGACCGGGAACACGAAGAGGAATCGTTACCGACATGCTTGGTAGGCGTCCATGTGGTCCGTGGCCTACGTGGCCTTCACGGGCCCCATGGAGGCGGGCACGTCCTGGCTCCTCATCTTCCTCCTCTTCTTCAACGGCTTCATCCAGCTCTTCTTCCTCAACATCGTCCGCGCGAACCTCATCGAGTTCGAGGTCGGCGACGCGACGATCTCGGACCTGAAGAGCTGGCGCGTCAACGTCGCCCACAGCGTCGAGTACTACGACGCGAACTACGACAAGTCCCTCGCGCGGCGCGTCTGCGACACGGACGCGGGCCTCGAGACGTCCGCGACGCAGTCGGACGCGTACGACACGTACAAGTCCTACGCGGGCGCGGCCATCGACGCGTCGTTCCTCGCGCCGGGGCCGTCCATGTGCTTCGTGGCGCTCACGGTCTGGGTTCTCACCATCGCCGGCGAGACGAACTCGATCTGGGCCAACGTCCGCGCGCTCTACTACTCGCCGACCGCGCCGCGGACGACCGTGGCCGAGCACGACGAGGGCGAGTACAGCTTCACGGCCCTGTCGCGGTCCCGAAAGTTCTCCGTGGGCTTCGTGCTGTTGGTCCGCTCGGCCATCTGCCTGGCGCTGCTCTGGTGCGGGTGTCTGTTCTTGACGGTGACGATCGACATGACGGATCTGCTTTTAAATACCGTCGCGCTCGAGTTCGTCCTCGGCGTCGACGAGCTCATCTTCAGTTCCCTGGCCCCGACGAAGGCCCAGGCCTACGTCGACTCGCACCGGGGCCACGCGGTGCCGCGGCCCGCGGCCTGGAAGGGCATCGGCGTGCGGACGCTCGTGACGATGGGCAGCTGCGTGACCCTCGTGGGCTTCCTCATGTACGGCGTCGTCTTGCCGAACCTGGAGCACATCGTGGAGGCGCGCGACGCGCTCTGCGCCGGCGACCGCGACTTCGTCATCGGCGAGGACGGCTTCGGCGTGCCCGTCTGGTCCTTCCCGGCGTGGATCGGCGACCCGAGCGCGCGCCCCGCGGACGACCCGGACTACCGCGACCGCAACTACCCCGACGGCGGCGACGTGCCCTACGCGCAGCCCGACTTCTCCATGGCCTCCAACTACGGCTCCTTCTCCGGCGCGACGGTCAACGCGCTCGTGCGCCAGCTCGGCCGCGTGCCCGAGGAGGAGTGCTGCTACAAGGGCGTCTGCGGCACCCAGGGCCCGGGCTCCGCGTGCATCGAGGACGACGGGTCCCTCTACGGCAAGCCCTGGGCCGACGCGCCGGGCTGCTGCCTCGTCGCCAAGACCTTCACGCAGGACGTCGTCGGCACGGACTACTCCGTCGGCACGAAGTCCGAGTGGACGGTGCCCGAGGCCGCGGCGATCTGGAACCCCATGTGCTACGACGTCCTGGACCTCGGCCTGCCCTACAACCAGCAGCTGGCGGCGGCCGTCGGCGACACGGTCGACAGCGGCCCCTGCGGCGGCTGCCCGGCGAACGCGCCCGCGTGCGTCCAGGAGACGGGCGAGTGCATCACGCCCGTCTGCGCGGATCTCGCGGACTACTGCCGGGCGAACACGAAGACGGGCAAGCGCGCGCGCCAGCTCTGCCCGAACACCTGCGGCTGCAACGACCCCACGAGCCCGCTGGCCTTGTTCGCGGGCGAGCAGGGCTGCGGCGACCAGTGCCGGCGGAGCGGCGTCTACACGCAGCTGCTCGACGAGCTGCCCTGCGAGGACGTCGCCGCCGACGACGCCAACTTCCTCGCGTTCCTGGACGACGCGGCGGCCGTCGCGCAGACCTGGCCGAGCGACTGGGCCGGCGGGCTGTCGCAGTGGGTCGCAGCGCCGTCGGGCATCCTCCGGGCCTACGGCTGCGCGGCGCTCGACGGCACCGCGGGCGTCGCGGCCTACAGCTTCGGGAGCAACCCCTGCGTCGAGGAGGGCTGGTGGTTTGGGGTGAAGCCCCTGTCCTACTTCTGCCCCGTGGCCTGCGCCTGCTACTCCGGCG